GACTTGAAATTTTCAGCATAGTCCCAATCACGATGACAATGCAATTTAATATATTAATGAATTCCCCATATGGTCCAGGGGTCTTGATTCATAGGCGGTCAAAAAATAGTAAGATTTATGGTTAACAGAGCGTAATTTGGCAAAGAACGTAAAACCACTATAAAATTGCTAAAGCTGCCGGCGATAGTGTAGCAAAGCTATTTGTGGCAAATTCAAGATATCAACCTAGTTTAGATATGAACCTCGTTGTAGGAATTAGAAGACTCCAGATGTCGCCCCGCCAGAAGAAGTTAAATATTGGGCCTAAATATACGCCATTTACATATACTACAGCGGAAATGGACGGCACGCCATTTCTTTAAGTTAAATTAACAGCTGCTATATGTACATATGTATGTTAATACAAAACATAAGCGAATTCAGCGTACATGCATAATTGGTTAGGTATGTATGCAGATATTTAAATGCCGGTTTGCTATTCGCGCGACAAGCTTTTTTAAAAACGAAGTAAATTAGTACAAATTGTTAGTAATATTCATTAGAGTTTGAATAACTCCTTTCACTAAATGGCTTTTAGTAACATTAATGAGACCTTAACTTATTTTATTTCATTCATTTTAGTGCAGTTTTGACAAAATTTTCTTGCTAAAAAATCTTTTGTTACACTACTTTATTTTATTCCTTTGATTGTACATGTTAAATAAAAGCTTGCTTTTAAAAAATATTTTTTTTTACATTATTTTATTTCTAGACTTCATTGTTTCATTATTTTTAACTTACTTAAGCGACGTAAAAGCTTTTCCAAACAAAAAACAATTAAACGACAAAAACAAAAACAGTTTTAATTCACCAAAACAAGATTTAAGACACTCTTATTTTCCGCAAAGAGATCATTGTGAAAATTAATTTTGAGTCAATAAGCTTAAGTAGTTACTAAAATATCGTAAGGTAAGTTATGTATTTCTGCGAACTTTAACTATTTATCTTTCATTCTGAGCATTTTGATACTTATATATCCATATGTCTATATCTATCTCGATTCATGTAGGCTGTTACAAACCCCTGTCATGTGAAAAAAGTTATAAAAAGTATACTTATTAGTCCAAAATAAAACAAAATATATATACATATGTATCTACACATAGGTCTCTTTTTATGCGTTTTTTTTACGCGGATTTAAATTTATGCGGTTTTCCAAACCACTTCTTCGCTGTACCGATTTTGCTTTTTTGAGAGTTGTTGTTACTTTTTTTCAGTGTGTAAGAGACAATGCTTCTGATAATTAATTTGTCTTTGTATTCTTACATAATTAATGTATTTATTGTGGCACTTTTTTGTTTTTGGTTAAAATGCATACAAAATTTTATTTATTTCATTAATGTTCAGTTTTACATGGAATAATAAGGGTTTAAGTGAAGAAATAAATTGCTTTGTTTTGCTTAGTATTGCCTGACTGGATATTTTGTATGCGGTTTTTTAGAATTTTTTACATGAAGTATCTAAATTTATACGTTATATTCTGGAACGCATCCCCTGTTTTTGTATGAAAGTAAAGAACTTTTTTATGCGGCTTTCTGAGGAACGCATATACAGCATAAAAAGGCCTAAGTGTACATATCGTTGTACATCGTTGATCGTACGAATGCTTTAACACTTAAGGTGATTTTGTTTCTTCAAAAAAAATGTTGCCCTTCCGCGGTGTAAAATGTGTTTGATGTCACACTCAATCCTGTAAAAAGGCATGTTTTTGCCTTCTTGTCCTTGCCTAGCTCACGCATTTCATAATATTGTCGTTTTAAACAACTATCTGATTTTCAAGGCACCCATTCCCCTGACAAAGCATCACAGGGCAGAGAATGTGCATTTTTTGCCTTGCAAGAGTGTGACATTTTAAGAAACGAACACAAAATTTGTTCACTCTTTGCCTTTAATTTAGAATCGAAAACGAAACGAGAAAGGGACAATCAAAAGGCGAAGTTTTTGGTAGCAACGAAATCACCATTAGTTCACTACGGAAAACATTGATTAAATACTAAGCGCCAGACAACAAGTGATTTCATTTCGCTTTCGCATCCAAGGACAAAAAGCTGCAAACATCAAACATATGCAAATTTATGTGCCAACCCAAATAACCATGAATAGCTCAACAGAAAATCATCAACAAAATACAATAACAACTCCTGCAAGCATACATACTAGGGATGTTAATTTTTTCAATTTTCGGGACGACGTTCATACTAATCTCGGGATTTAGATATTCATTATTTTTCAACAACTTAACATAAAAAAATTGCATCAATATAGTTTGAGAAGCTGTCCTACCATATAATAAATAATACATACATGGTTTTGAAATCTACTTTATTATTTAAGTTGAAAAATATTTGATTAGTAACAAAACAAACGACAGTAATTAAATTTATACGCATTTAACAATACTTAAGCTTGAACCTATCTGATAAAGTAACTTAAGGCATGTCAAACAAAGCTCGATGCAAAAAAAACTTAAGTCAATATATGTATTGTGTGGCTGAAAGTACACGGTGTCCTTGAACCAAATCCAACTGAGTTGGTCTCGAACGATGGAATTTCAAATTATACTACTTTGGGGGGACGTTACCAATTCAGAATATGTGAAGTTTGAAATCGTAGCAAGTTCCGATTTCAAAAACTGTAATCTTTTCGAATTTCAGCCGACTTTTTCACATTTAGTTATAGTTTTTTTCAAAATTTTGCAGAAATATTCCTAGAGCATCTAGATGCATTTGTGCATCAAAAAGAAGATTTTGAAAAAAAATGTCATATGTACATATATATGTTACCGGCCAAACCCGATCTTAGGACAAATTAGTTTTACCTGGGCGAAACTAAAGGGTGAACACACCAAAACTGCGACACTTTGGGAAGCTTATAACTTACCCAAAAAGATTTCAATATTTCGAAATTCAAATATCATAAGTTGACCATGACCTTAGTTGGACGTAGAAGAAATTTCATTTGAATTTGATTCCTAGTTGAGTTAAAAATGGCAACCGAGTTAGAAACGAGACAAACCATTTTGCACGAGTTTATAAATGATCCGGCCTTAAGTACACGTAAAATTGCTAAAAACTTAAGATTGCACTATTCGACAGTTTGCAGGGTTTTTTTTATCGGTACAAATAAGGCCTGGCAGTTACGAGAAAACCAGGGAGCGGGGGTTAGCATGGTCAAAGTGATAAAAACAGTGCTCGGAAGGTCCTCAGTGCGTTTTCGCGAGATCCGAAGGTTTTGTCGCGTTATGTTGCAAAATCCGTACGGAGATCGCAGTTTTTCGTACAAAAGGTAAAGCGGAAAGCTTCATTGAAATGTTCTACAGCTCAAACAGCGCCAGACCGAAGCGCAAAGTAGAATGTTACATCGAAATCCCATATTCGGAAGTTGTATTAATTCTAAATTAAAAAATACAACTGCATTGTTATGCACTACGAAACCTACTGCTTTAAAAATTCAAACTGTATTGCAGGTCAAGATTTGTATACTGCTGCAAGTCGTCAATATGCCCCTGAAAGTTGTAAGCTGAAAATGGAGTCCAAATTTCCAAGCCCTTTTTTCCCATCCGGGACAATGAAAGCGTCTTCCGTCAGTTATCAACATATAAGGTAGTAAGCCACTGTTCTAGGCGGACATGGCAAGTTGCCACTATGCCAAGGACACATTGCCGTGGTATAATGCAAATAACATCATTTTTGTACCTCACGACTGAAATCCACCCAATAGCCCAGAGCTACGTCCTATTGGGGAATATTGGTCAATTGTGAAAAGAATCTTGAAGAAAACAGGTTAAACAGTAAAAAATATTGAAGAGTGCAAAACAAAGTAGTTGTGCGCATCGCGTAAAGTCGATGATGCAGTCGTGCAGAACATGATGGCGCGTGTGCGCCGAAAATACCGATCACTTGCATATGGAGCAAATAATAACTAATATTTTAACATTTTAATAACATATAAACTTCCAATTTATATAACACAAAAAAAATAATTTCAAAGCCTTCTAGTTTGTTTCTGGCAGTAATCTCTAAGTGTCGCTGTTGGAATTTGATCGCTATTGCGACAGAACCTGTTGAAGGGTAATCCAATCCTTTCGGCATGCACCCCAGCGGGCGAGTAAAGTATGCACACTGCAGTAAGTTTGTAAGTATCGTCTTTGCTCATTCTTAAGAGAGGTTTGGTTTTAAACCCAGAACTGCCGGGTAATCCTGTACGATCTTGTACGGTTCCACCTCTGCTTGGCCTTCGAGTGATAAATTTCGTTAATTGTTACTTTTATCTTCATGAGTGAGGCGCCCATGTCCACCGTGTAGGACACATTCAGTACAGAACCACACCTTGTTAATTCTTCCGCTGTCTTGTTAATATAAATGTCCCTTTGTCCCAGCACCCATATTTGGGTAATTTCGTATTGATCAGATATATAAGCCAGTTGTCTCCTACAGTCTTCCACTAATTGAGATCTAACAGAGGTAGAAGAGAGTGTCTCAAAGCCAATATTTTTGTCAAGGGGAATTTTTTGTCAAGAGATTTCACACTAAACTTAAATGGTTGTAATCATAAAAAGTAAAAATATGCAAAAGCCACATGCATTTATTGTAAAATATACTAAAAATATGTACAAGTATGCAAAATCGGGTATTTTTTGCTATATGCAAAATGATGCATTCACTGCAAAATATGCACTAACGATTGAGTGCCATTTTAAAGGAAATTTCATGATTCGTAAAGATAATTTAACCATTTCCATTTGAAGATGCCCAATAAAAACATGCATTTGCATAAGATTCCGAGCCTTAGCTATGACTTTTTGTATTTCAGCGACGATGTGAATTAGACCCTTTCCATACTATGCTAACGATAAATCTTTGTTTATTAATTATTATTGTTTTCAATAGTCCGGTGTTTGCGAGTGTAACACACAGATGATATTCATTGCCTTCTTATCATGTCAACGTTGTCACCAGAAGAAGTAAGTTTTTATGATAGCTGTCATGAAACCGAAGTCCAAGAAACTGCAGCATTGAAAACAGCCCGAAAACGGAAATTGAAACCTTCAAAGGCAGCAAATCAATCTAAAAGTCTTAAACAGGATTTGAAGCAAAAGTGCATTGCCGAAGAATCGACGATAAGCAATAGTTCATCGTTATTTCAATTTGAAAGTTGCAGAGATAAACGAAGTTTTCCTTCTTCTCTTGGTATTCCTCGAAATAATGATCGGCCGGCTAATGCGAAATCAGTCTCCTATAGAAGCATGCTGCAACCTGTATCTATGGAGGTAGAAATATCGCAGATTACACACAATAAAACAGATTCCAGCGTAACAGTACGTGAAACAGATGTACCCAAGTTCGTGGGATCTTCAACCTCTGACGACGAGGATTGCATTCCAGAATCTCCAAAGCGACAAGAAAGGGCAGATCTGCGCACTATATTTCCCCGATGTTTTCATTCAACTTATGTACCATTGGAACCTTCAGCGAGCAGCCAAATATATGCTACCGCTTCGGATACGGAAGATTGAAAAACAAACATTTTTAAATTAATTTCTTTATGGAGTTTTATTCTTCTATATAAAATTACAGGTTAATAGTTGGTAAAAAGTTCGTGGTGAAGACATTACTGTTTTTTTTCATGCAGCTGCTTTATATTCATTTTTGAATCTTTTAACGAACATAAAACTGATTGCATAGTAACCTGAAAGAAATATATATGTAAATAGAAGTAACCACTGGTGTTAACAAGTTTAAACTTTAAGGCTGCTCATCTAAAGAGTAAAAACCCGTATAAAATTCATAAACCCTATAAAAAGTCTGTACATTAATAAAAGGGTTCGAAATTGTGGCTAGTTAGCTTTTACTGTCGTTCAGTAACCGAAAAACTCTGTAAAGTAACGCAAAAACGAGAGCGGTAATTTACGTTCTTATCTGTTTAAAGTTTCCCAATATTTAAATTAATTTTAGTACAGTCAATCTGGTATTGGAGGTCCTGGGAATTCTACTGATACAGGATGCGTGAACCTACAGGGGTCAGGTGAGGGGCCTCAATCACAACAGCAATATCGTTACTTGGGACCTCTCCTGTGAGAGGCCCAGAGCTAAAGAGTAATATTAATTATTTCTGCATTACAGAGTTTCTTACACAGGATCTGGTATCGGTCCAGGCTACTCTAACAGTGAATGGTAAGGAGATGGAGGTACAGCTGCTTTTAGAATACTGCCACAGGACACGACTTGGATGCGATGCACAACATGAAGTGGGGCAGCTCGAACACAAACCGTAGGGGTGAGTGCCTTCTGGAATATATAATTAGCGAAGACCTGTGCTTTCACAATGTTGGAAATGAACCAACGTGCATCACTACGATCAGAGAGGAATTACAATACATTACCCTCAGCAGCAGAATGGCCAGTCCTCTGATTGATCAGTGGCGGGGCTCAGTGAGCCCTCACTGTCTGATCATAGGATTATCTGATTTACACTGGGAGCAGACGTTCGAACAGGTTACCCCAAGAAAAACCCCATGAAAACAGACTGGATTAAGTACGAGGAAGTACTAAGACTATGTTCAAACAGGCACCTAATTGACAATTAAGAATCTTCACCTTATTATTATTAGTTAATTATTACCCAATTTATCATACAAAATTTCAAATTGGCAATTAATTTGTGTCAGATTCTAAATGCAACCCTGGTAGGTATGTTTAATTTTGACTTGGAGGTATGTTTATTAAAACAAAGGGCAGTTAGCTGTTTGTTTCTGGTCTCCTTTTACAGCTGATATTCCATCAGGTATGGAAAAGTGAATTATAAAATTTTACCTAATTTACGGAAAACTTTACCTAAAAGTAGACAGATGTACCTAAAGAGTAAATATCGTCGATGTTTTTGCAAAACCGCCTAAATCGCCGTTGTGGCAAAAATGAGATTTGGTAACCCTGAACTCCAGGCATCGAGATTTATGCATAAAAATCGTTAAATCGTTATTAAAACAACAGATTTGTGAAATAATAGCTACAGAATATACCGCCTATCAAGGCAACGCCTTAAAAGAATAAACCGTTTTTTCGCTCTCCTGTAAAATTTGAGTGCCGTAGATAGGCGGTTTTGCAATTGGGCGATGGGCGGTTTTGCAAAAACATCGACGATATGTATTTCTACATAAAAACATAGGAGGATAACAATTCCCATCGATACCATATCAACTTTGGTAATCACATTAAACAAATTTTGGTTATGAAAAGAATCTCTTCGAGCAGCGCGAGACAAAACTATGTTGTAGAAAAGGTGAATCACTTTCCTCCCAGTTCTTCGATGTGATGTTTTAAAAATAAATATTTTCGGTGTATCTAGCGAAATCAATTACAGTTGCGCTATTTGACCACGCTTCTATATCATTTGTATGCCCCTTCACAAAAAAGGGAAGCTATTAGACCAGTTGCCCGCTCTAGAAAAATAAGAACTGATTTCCTGAGAAGTTATTTGGCTACGTTCTACATGTACCTAAAATTGTGTGTTTGTACGGAATGTACTTTCAAACTAAATAAAGGTACGATTGTACAAACTTTTTTCATCATTGTAGGTAATCCAGCAGCTGATTTCGTATCGCTAATTGCGCAGCTGACGTGTGTGTGAACACCAAACTCAATGCCGCAATTTAAAGCTTAATTGCCTCATATAATTGGCATGTTTGAACATAGTCTAAGACTAAGGTTGAACCTAACCAAGTTAGAGGCACAACATAGAAAGGTTGATTGTATGGAGTTAGAGCACAGGGTCAACAGGCTGAATGGCATTATTTTGGATGCCTTTAATTCCAGCTGTCCCATGTCAAGGCCAAAGGGAAAGGGCCAGCCTCCCTGGTGGTCACGCGAACTCTCAGTACTTAGGAAAGAGTGCGGAGACTTTTCAATCGAGAAAAGCGCACCGGGTAATGGGGGTATCTCAGTCTGACAAAATACAATAAGGAGATTAGAAAGGCTAAGCGTAGCAGCTTTAGGACCTTCTGTGAGAACACTGCATCTACTTCTGCAGCTGCTAGGCTTCACAAAGCCTTGGCGAGAGACAAAACAGGGATCAGGTTGGCTATTAGGCTACGTAATGGGACTTTTCAGGTACTGAACAGGAAAGGGCACTCACCCTGCTGTCGGCCCACTTCCCGGACGCCATTCCAACCTCTGGGATACGGGATCTCGTACGAACAGGCCACCTCCATCGGACAGGAAGCTGGCTAATAGCCTGATAAACTGAACGGTACAAGGCTCCCGGTGTGGATGGCGTGTGTCCAGTGTTGCTGAAGCAGGGTGCGGAGCTCCTACTTCCACATCTTGTGGATATTATGAGGAACAGTCTAGCCCACATTCCAGTGGTGTGGCGGTGGCCTGGGTTATCTTTATTCCGAAGGTAGGTAAGAGAATTACTCTCTTGCCAAGTCTTTCAGGCCGCTAAGTTTCATCTTCTTTATGTTGAAGGCTATGGAGAAAATTCTCGACCATAACATCAGGTTTAACACTGCCAAACATTCTCGTTGTGTGGCGGGGCACGGGTTATATTTATCCCGAAAGTAGGTAAGACGGATTACTCTTTTGCCAAGTCTTTCAGGCCGATAAGTCCAACCTCCTTTATGTTAAAGGCTATGGAGAAAATTATCGACCATGCCATCAGATTTAACACTATGAAACACACCCCACGCATTCCACGCGTACAGAGTAGGCAGATCCACGTACACTGCGCTGTAAACTCTGACAGAATAAATACAAGGGGCCTTTGAGTGTGATGAGCCTTATTTGACATCGAGGGGGCCTTCAAGAACGCCTCCCACCTGGGAGTCGGCAGAGCACTTGAGGAACATAATGTTCATCCAATCATCCACAGATGGATAGCAAGGTTGCTTCAGACTAGGATGGCGTCATAGCGTCGTTCAAATACAAACGACGAAAGAGTGTCCAGAAGACGGGTGGAGCTGTGTTGGTGACGAACTGCATATACTCACTAATGAGGGCGTGCGATGCCTAGGATTCGCGGATGATATAGTATAGAGGGAAGTTCGCTAGTACTCTCTGTGACATCATACAAAAAAGAGGACTCAACCTTGCAAAAAAGTGGTGTGGTTTAAATATCAATCCTTCCAAGTCAGACATAGTCCCCTTTACTATAAAAACGAACTCTTCAGGGGATGAGGAACTTGACCTTGGATGGGGTCACGATCAATGTCGCCACAGAGGTTAAGTATCTGCGACTTATCCTGGGCTCTAAGCTTCTGTCGATGACTCATGTTGATGTGGTCACCTCGAAGGCTACGAGAGCGAGGATGGTGTGTAAACGTCTAGCGGGAAAATCCTGGGGGTGCACTCCTAGAGTCTAAAAATGTATGTACACCATGATAGTAACACCAATAGTGTCCTATGGTGCGTTGGCCTGGGTTTCCAGAACTACTCTGGGAACGGTGAGGCCGACTCTCACCACTTACACTATCACCGGATTTTAAGAGTCTCTCTAGGGCTAGTCGAGGTATTGTGATGAGCTAAGGGCACAATAGACCTACCGGTCGTAGTGCCATAACCAATTATCGATCTATAGACGAATTATTTTTAAGCACGAATGTCGAGTTTGTTAACCAGGTTGATTATAAGATAACGATCGATTTTTGACATTTCCTTAGTTCAGTTTGACATTTGTAATCGCAATTCTAAGTATCTTGGCAACAATTTAATCTATTCAGCAATTCAGCTATGAAGTTTTGTCTAAATTCTGGTGTTGCATACTTCACGGGGCAACATTTTGTTACCTGCTTATGAGATGGTAAGAAAATATACCAGTGAGCGAATGTCAAAAGGGCTGAAAAATTACCTGGAACTTTATCTACCGGTAACAAAATGTGTGTTACCAACGCAGAATAGGACTGGAAAAAGGTAAAATAGTAACTCCGGAGACTCGTCGGCCGAACTAGTGCTAACGTAGTATTTTTGTTCAATGGATTTATTACCTGCGATTTCATTAGAAGTTGGTCCGTATTTAAAAGTTGTTTAGATGCAGTGGTTATAAAGCCTTTGACAAATGTAGATGTTCCTTCATATATTGCAACGTTATTTTGGACTAGAAAAAATTATGTTATTAATGGTTGTGTTATGAAAATATAAAAATTAGGGCCGTTTACTCAAGTAGCTTTTAAAATTTATCTGCCCTTTTTTGTTCTAAAGAAAAATTTTTTTTATGATATATACGAAATTGTGAGTTATGATTGGGGATATGTACAAACATATGTGCGTTATTTCGAATCACCAATTATAGTTTAAAAAACTAGAACCTCCCTATTATAATAGCCATTCGTACTGTCATCAGGTATGTAACTTGAGAATAGAAATCGCTGCATCTTTTAGGCGCATCAATATTACATAGTTACATCCCGAGCTAATAAAAGGAAGGTCAAAAAGATGAGAGATGCGATCAAATAATGTACATTATTTTTTTAAATACCCCTTATACCATGTTCGCACCGACATCGAAAACATGTTTTCGTTGCTATAACTGGCTTTCGACCTAAAAACTTGTGTTTTCGTCCATGTAAAATCTGTCAAACGAAAACCAGTTTTCGCTGAAAAATACTTGAAAACTCACGTTCCACTCATTCCAATCGATGTCTTCACTAGTATTTTAGATATATTTGTCGTCATGATTTATCATCTTTAATGCACTAGCTGTGATTTACTGTCAATTGGCTGTCCAAATTAAAATATGAACAAAAGAAAAAGGTTGGTAATGATAAGAAAATGAAAGACAAAAATATTGAATTCGCTTTTTCGTAGCAAAACTGTAAACAAAAGATAAAAGAATTGTCAACGAAAACACACACAGCCCACAATCACAATCGAAATCAAGTTGGACGCAACAATATTGTGGACTGCGTAGTTGGAGTTGGACTGATGAGGGTTATTTTTTTAAAGCGCGGCCGGAGGCCGCTTACCCAAAAAGGAGTTCTGCTCAAAAATACTGTGGAGCCTGTCCTAAGATCGGGTTTGTCCGGTAATATATACATGTATAGCTTCTGGGGAATTTCGTAGTAGTCTACTATAATAGCCAACTTTTGGTCCACTCATAACGGCCAATGTTTATCTAGTTTCAAAAAAATTAAGTATAAAAACTTATTACTATATTGCAGTGGCGTGGCCAGGATTTTGGGAAGGGGGGGAGGAGGTGAAAAAAAATCTGCGATAATTTTAAGGTGAGACCCACAATAGCTAGAGGCGTCACCCGTGTGTATTCTTTCATACATATATGAGGCATTTTTACCGTTATATATTTTTTGTCTAAGTGAGAAGGACAATCGGTTTCATAATGCTATGCTCGTATTAAATTGGGTATTCTCTTTTCGAAGTAGTTTGTCTTCACGGTGGAGAGAATACAGAAGGTGGCGCCGATGGCAATACCGCTAATCGATTCTGTAACCAGTCAGCAACAGATTCTGTAACTAGGTAGCGACAATTTTCGAATCGGTATCGGTTTTGTTGACGTATGATATGAAATATTTTTACGTCAATAAGTGTATCTAGACATGCGATCTCGCATTTATTGGATATTATAAAAGCTAATTAAATTTTACCAGAGAGTTAGGCGACTTACGGAAGGTTTAAAGACCGGGGCGCACTCCTGTAAGAACAATAATGGCGACCTAGTAACTGATGTCCAGAGCGTACTTAAATTATGGAGGGAACACTTTTCCGCCCTACTAAATGGTAGCAGCACGGAAAGTTGTGGAGAAGAAGAACCCGAGCCCGCAGTCGATGATGACGGGGTCGACGTTCGACCGCCTGACTATGACGAGGTACGTATAGCAATAACGCGGCTGAAAAACAACAAAGCCGCTGGAGCTGACAGCCTGCCAGCTGAGCTATTCAAGTACGGCGGCGAGGAGTTGATAAGGTGCATGCATCAACTCTTGTGCAGAATATGGTCAGATGAACGCATGCCCGACGACTGGAATTTAAGTGTGCTCTGCCCAATCCACAAGAAAGGTGACCCCGCCATTCGCGCCAACTACCGCGGGATCAGCCTTCTAAGCATAGGTTACAAGGTCTTATCGAGCGTATTGTGTGAAAGACTGAAGCCCACCGTCAATGAACTGATTGGGCCTTATCAGTGTGGCTTTAGACCTGGCAAATCCACCATAGACCAGGTATTCACAATACGCCAAATCTTGGAAAAGACCCGCGAGAAAAGGATCGACACTCACCACCTATTTGTCGACTTTAAAGCCGCTTTTGACATCACTAAAAGGAGCTGCCTATACGCCGCTATGTCAGAATTTGGCATCCCCTGGAAACTCATACAGCTGTGTAAAATGACGTTGAGCAAAACCACCAGCTCCGTCAGAATTGGAAAAGACCTCTCCGAGCCGTTCGCCACAAAACGGGATTTCAGACAGGGCGACTCCCTTTCATGTGACTTCTTTAATCTGATGTTGGAGAAGATAATAAGAGCTGCAGAACTGAACCGCTCAGGAGCAATTTACTACAAGAGCGTGCAATTGCTGGCTTATGCCGATGACATCGACATCATCGGTAACAAAAACCGCGAAGTCTGTTCTGCCTTTTCCAAGTTGGATAGGGAAGCAAAGCGCATGGGTCTGGTGGTAAACGAGGACAAGACGAAGTATCTCCTGTCATCAAACAAACAGTCAGCACATTCACGCCTTGGCACCCACGTCACTGTTGACAGTTACAATTTCGAGAAAGTAGAGAATTTCGTTTACTAGGGAACCAGCATTAACACCGATAATAATGTCAGCATTGAAATCCAACGTAGAATCACTCTTGCCAACAAGTGCTACTTTAGACTGAGTAGGCAATTCAGGAGTAAAGTCCTCTCTCGACGTACGAAAACCACGCTCTATAAGTCACTCATCATGCCCGTGCTGGTATATGGCGCAGAAGCATGGACAATGACAACATCGGATGAGGCGGCTCTTGGAGTGTTTGAGAGAAAGATTTTGCGTAAGATTTACGGGCCTTTACGCGTTGGCGACGGCGAGTACCGCAGACGATGGAACGATGATCTGTATGAGCTATGCAACGATATGGACATAGTGCAGCGAATTAAAATACAGCCGCTCCGCTGGCTTGGTCATGTCGTTCGAATGGACACCGACGCTCCAGCTCTGAAAGTATTCAACTCGGAACCCGCTGGTGGTAGCAGAGGAAGAGGGAGGCCCCCACTGCGATGGAAAGATCAGGTGGAGAAGGACTTGGCTTCACTTGGCGTTTCCAATTGGCGTCAGTTGGCACAGAGGAGAAACGACTGGCGTGCTTTGCTGAACTCGGCCAAAATCGCTTAGGCGGTTACAGCGCCAAAAAAGAAGAAGAATTGAATATTAGATGTTCAAATTTAACAAAATTTTATAATTTTTATCTTCCACCTAAATTTAAGGAAAAATTCCCGTGAGTAGTTCATATTACTAATGGCAGAAATAAAAGAAACGCCTTATTTCAACCAGTTTAGTCAATATTTATTTTCTTTATTAAATACTTAAATTTTTTTATAAAAGTCTACCTCATTTTATTTATAATTAACTGCATTTAAATGCGCATTTCAAAATTTGTACAAAAATTTTTAACTTTTTACTCAGTATTTGCAGAAAAATTTGGCAGTTTTATAGCCCATTAAATTAAAGTAGGATAAAATGCAAGATTCATGCAGTTGCAAAATACTGTTGATTTTTGGGAGTTTTATAGCCCATTAATTTAAAGTAGGATAAAATGCAAGTTTCATGCAGTTAAAAAATACCGTTAATTTTTGGGAGTTTTTTAAACGATGCTGGACATTTTTTTCTTGGAGGATGGTTCCGTGCGCAGAAGTGGAAAACTTTTGACTGCCATTCACCTGGGAGTGGCCAGAAGCGATTCTTGTGCGTACGGTTCAAATCGCAGCTCACAACGTCCGGATATTTATATCCACGTATCCTCTGGGTAGCAACCAAACACCCGTTTGGGAGCGAGCTAAAGTGAGAAGGCGTAAAACTTCGCGTGCGCTGGGTTTGGGTCCCGCCACGTTAAAACCCCGCCCAATGAAAATAAAAAAACAGCCTCGGATGAGACCCCCTTTTTCTGATGACGACCACGGCAAACGTATAAAGGACTATGATTTAAGGGTAAGCACCTGGAATATCCGGAGCCTTAATGGGGAAGGTGCCTCTGCCCGGTTGGTTGATGTCCTCGGGAAGACAAAGGCTGACATCACCGCCATCCAAGAAATGCGATGGACGGGGCAAGGTAAAGTAAGCGTGAAGCCTTGCGACGTCTACTACAGTTGCCACGTAAAGGAGCGCAAATTCGGTGTTGGATTCGTGGTAGGAGAGAGACTCCGTCGCCGAGTACTGGCGTTCACCCCGGTGGACGAACGTCTAGCCACAATCCGCATCAAAGCTAGATTTTTCAACATCTCGCTCATCTGCGCCCATGCCCCGACGGAAGAGAAGGATGAGGCGTCCAAGGATCTCTTCTATGAGCGCTTGGAACGTACATATGAGCGCTGCCCCCGACACGATGTCAAAATCGTGCTTGGCGATTTTAATGCCAAGGTGGGCAAGGAAGGGATCTTTGGCGCCACTGTCGGAAAATTCAGCCTCCACGACGAAACGTCCGATAACGGACTGAGGCTGATCGACTTCGCCGGGGCCCGAAATATGGTAATATGTAGTACTAGGTTCCAGCATAAGAACATCCACCAAGCTACATGGCTGTCTCCAGATCGAAAAACGAGAAACCAAATCGATCCTGTTGTGATAGACGGAAGGCATGCTTCAAGCGTTTTGGACGTACGTACACTCCGAGGGCCAAACATCGACTCGGACCACTATCTTGTTGTAGCCAAGATACGCACCCGCCTCTGTGCAGCAAAAAATGTGCGCCCAACAATGCAAGGAAAGCTTAACGTCGAAAAGCTGCAATCACAACAGACGGCCAATTTATTCGCCACTCGACTCACACACCTGCTCTCTGAGAGCACTCTTCAGCAATCCAACGTACGCCAGCAGTGGAACCACATTTCCCGATCATTAAGTACCGCCGCCGAAGAAGTAGTTGGATTTCAGCGAGCCCGAA